GCTCTGTTCAGGTCAGCGGGACGATGTACAACACGGGCAGACACGTGTCCCTGCGGTTGGACAAGGAGCACCTGGTGAACATCTCGGGGGGCCCCATGACCTACAGCCACCGCCTGGAGGAAATCCGGTTACACTTCGGCAGCGAGGACAGCCAGGGCTCAGAGCACCTCCTCAACGGCCAGGCCTTCTCTGGGGAGGTATGTCTGCCAATTACCCACCTCCTGGTTCTGCCTGAAGGCATTGGAAAGTTAATCTGAGCTCGTAAAAGTTGTTTTTGTGTAGCCGTTGGGAAAAACAGGGAATTGGTTTGGGGTTTTTTGTGCAAGTGCACTGCAAATTTTGTGGCTCATATCTACAAGTGACCCTGATGTGTTTATTGCATGCAGAGTCCTCATGTGTGCTGCTCACAAGGTAATCAGRTCTCTTTGGATGGGGTTTTTATATCTCTTGTCAAGGCAAATATGAGATTAACCACAAAGTGATGCTGGAAGTGCTTCAAATTCCTATAAAAGTGCTGCTTTTGCTTCTCACTCCTTACTTTACATTGATCTCCTTCCTGCCTTTGATTCATGCAAAAATAAGATGATACTTGATTGTGGAGATGATTCCACAGAACTCTGCTCAAGAAAGAAATTTCACTGCATGTGTAGTCCCTCACAGGAAACTCATGGTGTGTGTTAAATAAGTGTCTGTAAGTRTCCCAGGAAAAACCATAATTTCATGATCCTGATGCCTATTCCAGAATGGCCCATTATTCTTGCTGGATAAATATTTCAGTGTCTTAGATGGAGCACTTTTTCAAGATGTAGAGTTTTCAATTTCTTAGGACAACCAAAGTGGAATCATTCCATTTTCCTTCCCAAGAATATTTTCACACAGAGGTTTGCAGAACTCATTCCCCTCCAGCTCGGGCCATGGCTGTGAGCTCCCCAGCACACAACTCTACAACTCAAAATAACGCCTCACAAAAACTCTGTGTTACTGTAGGGATTATTTTTCAAGACACTCTGTTACCATCCTTGCAGAGTACCCAAAAAAGAGTGGCTTTTTCATCATAAAACACTTATTTTCTCGGCGATGAGTAATCAAATTAACATCTGTACTATGCATCACAGACTGGTGATGAGTCAGTTAATGTGTGGCATTTTCTTTGGCTMTGAGCAACAGCAGTTATTTAAGAGTAAGAAATTAATTGCAGAGCTGTCAAATGATGGTGTTATAATTGATGGTAATCACTGGCTTTGTTTTATAAGCTACATATAGCCAGTGGCAGCTTTTTTTGGTGACATTACTCATGTCTTACACAACTGGTTTTGGTTGCCTTTGTTAAATTTTCTAAGTGAATTCAGCATGTGTTGCTCCTTTTAGGACTGAAAGTAAAGGATGCTGTAGTAAATATCRTCCTTTGCTGTTCAGACTCACACAAGAGCAATATTMAAAMAAAAAAAAAAGGTTGAATGAGAAAGCAAAAATCTGGTTGAAATGTAGCATTGCACCTGTATCAACATCATTTCAGGTTTTGGTTTTTTTTAAGAGTTTTTAGGTTTTTAATTAATCACTCCTAGGCTATAACAATGTGAAAATGTAGAGCATTGTTTGACAATACATAATGTTAATATTTAATTAGAGTCCTCTGGTTTTGAAAGCAAAAAAAAAAAAAAAAGGAAAGTAGTTCCGAAGTGCTGCAATGTGTTTTACACACCTGGAAACCCCACCTGACACCCACACTGAGGCAGCAGTTTATTTTAGGGACCTTTATTGCCCGGCTCTGCAGGCAGGCAGGCACTCAGAGCAGGCTGAAGAGCCCTGGAGTGGTACCACGGCACAAAAAAACAGCCTGGAAATAGCAAAATTGCTCCAAAATGGGCTGTGGACTGAGTGATACCGAGAGGCTTGTAATTTCCAGGCTTTAGCTTGTAGCTAGGTGTTAAAGGCTGCCAAGAGAGATGCCTGCAATAATCTGGTTACCTTTCAGCCCCCAATTATCACTTTAGTAGACAGAATAATTGAGCTAATGTTGAAATAGTTGGAGTTTAAGGGCTTTAAAGCTGTGTATCAGATTATCAGTATGTTTGGCACCGGTCAGATGGAAAGGCAGGCAGGCTTTGGAATGCTTAAATTAAAAAATGGAGCATTTTCTTGCCCCTGTGATGCAAACCTGAGTGGGTTTAATTCCCTATTCTTTGCAGGAGCATCCCACTGTATTATGATGATTAAAAGAAAATCTTGGCTTAGGCAAAGTCTCCAACTAAGACACCGATCATTTGTGTCTGCTGCCTAATGCCTCTATGCAAAACAGCTTTTAATGCTTCAGAGTCTGCATTATTTAATGAAAAAGACCATTTTCCACTCAAACAGCAGCACTGCAAAACTGCAGAACTGGCCTGAAGTCTGTGATTCAGGCACTGTCTGCCTTGTTCAAATGAAAAGGTGACAACCTCCAAAAGGTTCCTGGTGAAAATGGGGCCCTTTCACTTTGCCATGTGGCAAAGCCATAAAAAAAATTTTATGGTCCGTTTTTTGTTTTTTTTTTCCTGAGCATAAAAATGAAAAATGTGCTGCAGAAGACCCCAAATCACTTTGTGGCTGTGCATGGTGGCAGCTTATCAGTGCCAAGGCAGAAAGTCAAGGAGCTTCATTATCTGGGGTTATGCACTTTTCAAAAGCTCAGTGGCTGGAGACTTGAAAACAAGAGACCACAGTCTACATGGGAAAAAAAAATTTCTTCTCTGCCCACCCTTCCAAAACCTCATGGAGCGATTACAAACACACAATGATTTCATCTGCTACAGAGGAATTAAAATGAAAGTGAGAACAGGGTCTCAATAAATGGACAGCTATTGCTGGAACTGACATTTACTTTTGTTGCTGAGAAAACCAACACAAAAGTACAAGAAAATGGGAATAAAAGGGAGAAGCTGGAAATTCTGAAACAGCAGCCTCCTCTTGAGCTGCAATTTCTTGAACTGCAGGCGTGTTCTGTTCGAGTGGGGGACTTCCAGTGATAGTAAAGGATTACTGATCAGTGAGATCAGTGTCACAAATCCAACTTGGGGTATTTTTAGAAGCAGGACTGTCAGATAGACAGCCTATGAGGACCAGCCAGCCAGATGAAATGCTTTAATCCAGCCTGCAGCAGAAGGAGAGTACTCAGGATTGTTAAATCACAAACAGGGGCTCTGTCAGTGAGATCTTCTGCCTGCGAGGGTCCAAACCCTCCCCAAAACATCTCGTGGTGTGGCATTTTTAGAGGAAAAGCTTGAAATCAGTCTGTGCTGGCACAGCATCCTTCTTCCTCCTCAGGGAAGGAGGATTAAATCAGAGTGGTGCCCCTGAGGAGGGGGGACAGGAATCTCTCCTTGTTCCTGACCCCTCCAGGTGCTCACAGAGCCAGCCCCTGCCACACCAGGAACCCTGGCACTGCTGCCAACAAATTCAGATTTTTCAGTTGCCACAGGCCACTGGTATTGCATTTTGGAGCCTCTCCTGGAAGAGGTGCAGGTGATTTTTAGGTATTTCAGGCAGAATATAAGTTTAGTGTACTCCAGTGCTTAATAATGTTGAAAAATAAGCCTGTGAGAAAAGTATCAGTCTGATGGAAGGGAGGGCTGAGTAAAATCTCTATAACCTTCAGATTAATGTTGAGCTTCAAAGGAGAAAGTCAATAGGGTAACGAATTAAATTGCGATAGGAACAGAATATAAATCAGGGAGAGGTGGTGGTGTTGTCATCATTAAAGTGTGGGGAGGCTGCTCACATGAGTAATTCAAAATCTCTGGCAGATAAATATGTGCTTCACCTGTGAGAGTGCCCCTCTGTCCCCACTAAAGGTTACAGATGGCTTCACCCAAAATTTCRTACAATATCCATAAAAAGCAGGGTTGAACTCCAAAAAGATGCTTATTCATCACAGACTATTCTGAGTTGAAGGAACACATAAGGATCATCGAGCCCAACTCTTCAGTGAATGGCCCATGCAGGGTTATTGTGTTTTTCTAAACCAAATTCACTTTTATGTTTGAAGTTAAATGGGCTTTTACTGTTTGCTAATGTAACAAAAGATAGAGCTGAGCTGTGTGAGCACAGACTCGGGAATATTCACACCTGACCGTGGTGATTCCAGAGCTCTGGGTCATCCAATGGAAATTCCTTTCCATCTTCCACTGACTTTTTAAGCTTTTTGAGGCTCTTTTAGAAGAGATCTGTTTTAGCAGCAGCCTGGTCTGTCTCCCATCCCAAATTACAAAAGGATGACATGGACACCTCTTGCTCTACACAGCAGAGCCTTTTGGGTTTAAAAGCCTTGCCATTAGGAAAAATAGTAAAAAGTGTGGTGAAAGGACAGCAGAGCTTGCAGGAGACAGACTTGGAAAACCTCTGTTATTTTATAAAATAAAATTTAACAACACCATTTTCAAACATTCCCAAAATACTTCCCAAAACGCAATAGATGATAAATCAAGATTCTAAGCCAAGGTTTTGTCGACAAGTCTTTAAGGTGCTAAAGCTTATGGGTTTATACATTTAGTGCACTTACTGAGGATTGTCCATTGTGCCTGAAACCAGCAATGAACCAGCAGGTGACAATGGGACAGTGCAGTGGCACAGGAATATAAAAGGAGATGCTTCCTTGGTTTAATTTACTATGTATTCTCCTGTCAGGAACTAAATGCGTCATTCCAGCAGTGCAACAATTAACCAAAGTTAATTGTTTTGGTTTGGATAAATACCTGATTCAGATTAAACTGCTGGGCTGGGGCCTTGCTTGCAGGGCTCTCACACAGAGAGAGAAGAAGCCAGAGGGGCACATCAGGATGCATAAAAAACAGGGGTGTGGACAAAAATGCAGACAAATTGCTGAATCCAATTCCATTGTCTTGGTTTCACGCTCCAGCAGATTTCTGTCCTTTTTTTTTTTTNACACCCACACTGAGGCAGCAGTTTATTTTAGGGACCTTTATTGCCCGGCTCTGCAGGCAGGCAGGCACTCAGAGCAGGCTGAAGAGCCCTGGAGTGGTACCACGGCACAAAAAAACAGCCTGGAAATAGCAAAATTGCTCCAAAATGGGCTGTGGACTGAGTGATACCGAGAGGCTTGTAATTTCCAGGCTTTAGCTTGTAGCTAGGTGTTAAAGGCTGCCAAGAGAGATGCCTGCAATAATCTGGTTACCTTTCAGCCCCCAATTATCACTTTAGT